AGAGTGTCAGGGTGAGAATGTGCAGTGTTCTGTTTGAGGTAGGTGCGGTAAACTAATTTTGACCTGGCAGCTAGTAAGTGCTGTAGCGGGGTTGTGAATTGCACGATTGCTAATACGACTAGTGCAGATAAATTTAAGTGGATCTTGGGCAGATGTACGATGTAGGCAATTAAGTGATTTATACAGATCAGACTTATGCAAGTTTTATTGTAATATATAATAATCTTGCTTTTGATATAACGTCATTGAGGCATCACAAAGCACTTCACAGGATACACTGTGAACTAATGTAACTGTATGTATTTTGTATTTTGTGAATGAACAGAGTAGCTAATTTGCACGCAGCAATGTCCCATAGACAGCTCTGAAGTGAATAACCAATTTAATCTGGGGGTAGTTGGCCAGAAGAATCTCCCTTCTCCTTTTGATTAGTGCCATAGGATTTTAAAGTCCACTTGGATAGGCAGAAGGACCTCAGTTTACGTCTCACCCGAAGGACGGCATCTCCAACAATGCAGCACACCCATTGCACTCTATTGGAGTGTCAGCTTAGACTATATGTGCTCCAAGTCCCAATGTAGGGCTTGAGCCCACAACCTTCTGGTTCAGAGGCGAGCCTACTGTCAAATGAGCTAGGCTGACACAACCTCTCACTCTCTTACCTCTAGGTAAGTTAAATGGATCTCTTCTGGCAAACCTAATGCCACTTTTTAAAATATAATTCATTGTCACTGAGATGATTTTTAACTGAATTTTCTCAGGGGAACCTTTGAGCTGATAGTCAAGGCTAATACTCCCGTGTAATGATGGTAGAATGCTGCATTGTCAGAGGTGCAGTCCTTCAAATGAGACATTCAAATGAGATCTCACCTGCCTGTTTGGGTGGAAATTAATGATTTTTTTCAAAAGAATAGGGAGTTTCTCCTAGTATCCTGACCAGTGATGCCCAGGTAAAATGGATCATTCACATCATGGCTGTTTATGGGACATTGCTCTACACAAACTGGCTGTCACATTCATCTATCAGTGCACAATAACTATATTCTGCATTATATCCTGTGAAGTGCTTTGAGGTACGCTCTATCAAATGTAAAGATTATTATTATTATAATGTTATTCCTTTCTAACAGAAATAATAGGGTTGTTTGACCCATGATGCTGGCTTTCTTAGCTGTGTATCCCGATAGATAACTCTGCCTGGGGTCTTTTCCCTTTCCTAGCTCAAGGTGGATTAAATTTCCCACTGCGACCTAAATTGAAGTGTTATTGTTGTGACTCTTGAGGGACAGTCCAATGCAATGCTTTAGATATGCTGCATTGTTGGAGGTGCTGTCCTTCAGATGAGATATTAAACTGCAATGTCCTCCAGATATGAAAGACATAATATTAAAGCACTTCACAAGAATTACTGTTAGATGTTGTGACTAATTATTTTGCAGGCAAATGCTGCAAGCAATTTGTGCATAGCAACGTCATGCAATCAGACATGACCAATTTTGGCTGGGGGTTCATTGGCCAAGACTCCAGGATATATTTCCTTTCCTTTTCAAATAGCATCACAGGATTCTTTTCGTCAGCCTGAACAGACAGATGGGATTGTAGTTTAATATCTCATCTGAAGGACAGCACCTCCAACAATGCAGCATATCTAAAGCATTGCATTGGAGTGTCAGCCTTGTCTATGTGTGTTCAGACTCCTGATATGGGGGTTAAACCACCAAACATCTGACTCAGGAGTGTGAGTGCTATCAGCTGAGCTACCCTTTTACTGGCACATACAGAGTTTGACCCCTATGGGATAAAGCTTGTGGTATTCAATAATAATATATAATTGTAAATTGTATTTTGTATTTATTTATTGTAATTATGTGATGTTGATCCTCTACAGGAATAAAATGGGCTGTAGTTGCAATATTATGTGCAGCATTGGTTACAGTGTGAAGGACTGGGGAACTAAACACTGACAAAAATGAGAACATTTTCTATGCATGAGAACCTTATTTGTTCTAATAATATTAATACTTGCATTTGATAGAGCGCCTTATCACGTCTTCGAGACATCTCAGTATATTCACAGAATATACTGTTAAATGAACTGACTGTGTATTTTGTGAGTGAAATGTGGCAGCCAATTGCCCACAGCTGTGTCCCACAAACAGTCTTGGATTGAGTGACCAAATTAATATTATTATTTTTTCTTTCTTTTTTTCACATCTGGAGGACAGAAGTTCTTTCAGCAGTTTGGGGGTTCTACGCTTAACACAATTAAATAAACCTGAAGAAATGCTTTAACATTGTTATTTTTCTATTTTTCTTGACTACTGAAATGGAACATTATGACCTTTACGAACCACTATTGCTCTTTCCAGGCACCAAGAATTGCCTTCCTCTATTTGAGTGGAATTATCACCCATTTAGAATACAATACAAATTAAAATTTATGTAGCACCTTCCATGTCAGTGGGACATCCCAAGGCAAAACACCCCAGGATTTTGCACCTGAGCAGGGGTTGAGGATGATGAATGGGGGCAAAGAGAGTTAGGGGGGGAAAGATGACCAGAAGCACAGTCAAAGAGGAAGGCATGGAGGACTGTGAAAGAGGCAAGGGAAGGGTCGAGGCCAAAAGACTCTGGGGGCAGATATGGTGCAAGCCCGACCACCGATGGTGGGGTGGGGGAAGATGAATCAGGCGGGTGTCAGCCGAGTGGAGTTGTTAATGTTTGAGGAGGTCGTAAAAATAGGTTGAAGCAAAAGCATGGGGGGATTTAAATATTAGGTCAAGGATCTCGAACTTGATCCGCTTGGGTATGGGAAGCCAGTGGAGCTGAACGAGGATAGGGGTGATAGGCTTGTGGGCAATAGAATGAGGCAAGGCATTGGGATAAAAAGATCTGCCAATATCTAATAAAGTTGTGAAACAGGTTCAATGAATGACCTCCTCCTGTTCCTATGATCTCATTCCTATCACACTTATCTGATTGTAAATATCTCAATGTTATCCTAACCAAGCAACTTAATTAAAAATTACTGCAGCTAAAATAAAATGTAAGCTTTTCATCAAGGGATTTTCTTCCATACAATTTTATTCCAGCAAAAGACCACACAGAAAACGACTCTTCAGAAGAGTCACTGGTACATACCTTGAGGTTTCTAAGATGACTGAAGGAGGCGGTACACATCAAGAAGGATGTGTAGCAGCCAGTAGCTCCCTCACTCAGACTTGTCTGTACATTATTCTAATCAATTTAAAAGAAATGATGCTTGTTCTTCCCTTTCCTTAAGAATATTACTCACTTTGAACTTCTTGACTCTCCTCTTACTCAGTCTTCATAGATGTCCTCATTCTTAATCACTAGACCACAGAGGTTCATGTGACTGGAGTTCAAAATGAAGAACCAACTAGGTAGACTTTCACATTTAAGTGCAGACCAACCTGATTTGACTGCTTCTGGGGTACTGTATAGTCCTTGGCATCAAGTAAATAACGGAAGAGATACACAAACATGCTGACGGCTTAACAGTCATCGGTAATGCAAGGATTGTTATTATTACATATCAAGTTACTGTTCATTTACACTTTCACTGATGGCTGCCAATCTTTGACCTACAGAACTCATACTCTGACTCACACATCATTGCCTCATCCTTGGGTATCATAGAATCATAGAATTCCACAGGACAGAAGGAGGCCATTCGTCCCATCGTGTCTGTACCCGCTCTTTGAAAAGAGCTATCCAAATCAATCCCACTCCCCTCGCTCTCCCCATAGCCCTGAAAAGTTGTCTTCTCCAAATAGTTGTTATCGAATCGGTTTCCACCCTCCTTTCAGGCAATGCATTCCAGATCCGAACAACTCGCTGTGTGAAAAGACAGTTCCAGGGTAGTTCCGTTACAATATCCGAACATAACGTTTTGAGGCCCAGCTCTGCTCCCTTCTGAGAATTCCTACCTATTGATGACAGTTTGTCTCCACCTTTGGTCTGGACTCTGACACTTTCTCTCGCTTCCCTGGGACTTGTCCAGCCATGTTGGGGCGATGAATCTGCATCACTTCCAGTGCTCTCTTGTACTTGTGGCACAGTACTCTAGCACCCCCTCACCCCCCCCCCAAAAAAAAAATATTCAGCTATCTCACTCCTGGGAGATTTGGATGCAAACCCTAGGCTGTCCAGCACCCTGAGATTCCTCCTGACCGGAAAGGTATACTGTACATGTAAACTTGTGTGGCACTGTACTGTAATGGACTGTTGACTTATGAGCTCCACGTTGTATATCAGGACCTACCACCCCCCACCCCCACCCCCCACAATTAAAGATTTCTTGATCCCCCCAACCTTAAGGCAAGATCTTGTGATATTTATTCTCCAGCCTCGTCGCTTGGTGTCATTCCCATCCTGTTCTAACCGCTGTTCCAGCCCCTCAGCTCCCGTTCAGAAAGTTCTCTGTGAAGTGCTGTGACTGTGCGTCGGTGGGAAAGTTGTAATGTACGGCATAACATTGGCCATCATTTCGGTGTGTGTGTGTGTGTGTGTGAGTGTGTGGATAAGACAATCTCATTCATAAAAGCTGTGAAGCCTCGCCTTGAACTGTAGGTGTACTGTTCGCCCGCACTGCTGGGACTGATCTTTGGAATGACACGTCTCGTTGGGGCTCACGTTGCCCTCAGGGAATACTTGGGATGCAATAAAAAGCAATTAGCGGTCAGAGCGGTGAGTCCATCAGCGGGAGAGCACTCCAGCCGACGTGTCTGTGCCGGTCTCCTCGGCCCGGGATAGCACGTCCCACTGATGCTTGGAGGGTGAGTCAGTGCGAGGGCGGGCCGGACCGGCCGGGCAGGGCTGGGCTGGGCTGGGCTGGGCTGGGCAGGGCTGGGCTGCCAGGCGGTGAGGGAGTATAAAGGAGCGAGAGAGCAAACTCTCTCACACACACACATAGCTGCGCCTCCACACCCAACTGCTCACTCACTCAGTCACTAACACACACACACACACACACACACACTCACACAAACTCACTCACTCACTCACTCAGTCACTCACTCAGCAAAGCAGCACAAGGACTCACATAAGGCAGCGCTGAGGCATTGGGGCCACTCTGAGCAGTGATTTACTCTTCAGATAATGCGGAAGGTGTACACTTCGCCTCTACTGTTACTCATAGCTGCAGGTAATGCATTCCTCTCCATTACTGTTCTTTGTCGTTACGGGTAAAAGAAACGTTAATTATTTAGAGTTAAGACTTTATTATTAATTAGAATGAAGGGCCACACATGCATTCTGTTGGCAGGTGGCAATCAAAGGGAATAGTTTGTGCTAAACTATGGTTACTGTCATCCGGTTAACTATGAATGTTTGTAATTCTAGACATAGGGAAGACTTTTTTTCCTTTTGTCAAACTTTTTTCAAAAATTAGAAATTTATTGCTCCTCTTCAATTTTAGTCGTTAACTTTTGTCTTAACTTTTTCTTGTATAAGTCGGTTTAAGGCACTCCCCTTTGTGAGGGGCACTACATAAATGCAAGTTGTTGTTGCCTTTCTAATGGTAGAATTTTAGATCAGCATCCAGGTTAAAAAAAACAAAATCATAGGGTTTTGTTCTTGGTTTAAAAAGGTCATTTCAAATTGGCCTGTTCAGTCGGTTCTGGATAAATGTTGACTTGAATTTTAAATGTTGTTATTTTGCTATGACAGCCGGTTGCTGGACAGGTTATGGTGCACGTATGGGTGAGAGTGACAATGGATTGTTGGCGTCTTCTGGGGTTCCCACCTACAGTCCTGAACAGACCCCGCAGGTAACTGCGGTGCAATTCAATGGCATCTATGTGGACAGCGATGAGGACTATGCGGATGAATTTGAAGATGAAGACTATGAAGATTACGAAGCATTGGTAATTGAAGATCCAGTCTATGGAACATCATTAGGGAAAGGTACGGAATGTCCCTTTGTTTTTAAAAATGAAAATGTAGTGTACATATGTCAGAAATATACCGATGAGTATAGTTTTCCAACACGAGGTTAAACCTCAGAGTTTTTTTCCCACAATCTAATTCTTGTTTATTGTCTAATGTTTCCTTTACAAAATGTTAAGGGGACTCGAACTAAGATTAGCCAATTATACATTTCTGTCATTAAAGTTTGTTGCTGAGTAATACACCAGGATTCAGGAATGGAATATTATTTAGAATCCTGGTGTACATCTTCAGTTTGTTATGCAGAAAGGTATCAGAGAGTGATCATTTCTAGAGATAGTGCATCATGTGCCTCAGTAGCAAATAGTAGTGTCCCTAATATATAATTTAGGTAGATTGAGTAAGATCCAATTGATGATAGATTGGTGTGTGAAGCAGAATAAATGAATTCCAATTGTCAGTAAACCATCTTTGGATGAAACGTTAAACTTGGCTCCAGTCTGTCTGTTCAGATTGAAAGTTATCGTTCCCAAAGCACTGTTTGAAAAATGGAGTTTATTCTTCCTGGAGTCCTGATCAACAACTCCCCAGATAAAATTGATCATTCACTTCATGGCTCTTTATGGGACATTGCATTGCAGTCGCTGACTTTTTTTAAAAAAAAGTTAAGGATGATCATACACAAATTCATATACCGCTTGGTCCTGTAATATCAGAGACTGAACCCATGCACTGGCACAACAATGCCATCTGCAGAATTTAAGGCAGGTGATTTTTGTGTGGGTGGATAAGGCAAAGTTTTCATTCATGGTAATTTCCATTGCCTGAGGTAGATTTTTAAACTCTGGTAGATTGACTGATCTGAACTTTAAAAGCATACATTAGGCATGCTTTGCACGTTCAAGTACAACAACACTGAATGTGACAAACAAATTAAAGTAAAAATTGGGTTCAGAAGAAGCTTTATTATCCTGGGCAATAAATCCCCCAAATAAAAATTTGGTCATCATTGTATGGCTGTTCATGGGATATTGCTGTATGCAATCTGGATATTGGAGATTACAGTCAAACTTGTTCATTCTTTTTCTTGTGCCATGATTCCTACAGTGTTCTTTTATGTCAATTTAATGCATCAGCACTCATCAAAATATACTGCCATGGATGCTTCTCTATTAAATAAACTTTAAATTCCACAACAATATCAACTACTTTACTTAATTTTCAGTGTAGAATTTGTTATTTTGTGGCATCTTAAAATTACTGACATCTTAAAAGTGTTTGCTTATTGTAAAATCGTTATCTGAAAGAAACACGCTTTTATACTCCATTCCAATTGTTCAGTAACACTGGAGTGCCTAATTTGCCTGTGTCTTTGGCCATATAACCTGAAAGAAGACTTTTCATTAAGATCCATTGGAAACGTAGTTCTGAAAATTGCTTAGATATGTATGGAAATGTGCAGAGTACCCCAAGTTTGGTATGAAATAATATATCTATTTGTATTATCAGTCCAGCCAGTCATTAAACCCAGGAGTAGAGGTGAAAAGAAAATTGCTCATCCAAAAAAAGCAAGAAGCAAAGGAAAGAAAAACAACAGGAGAAAAAGAGGAAAGCAAAAACTCAACGATTTGTGTAAAACTGTGTACAAGAATTATTGCATTCATGGAAAATGCAAATTCTTGAAGGAACTCAATAAAACATCATGCATGTAAGTGTATCTAAAGGTTCCAATATACATTGAACTGAAAACTGTTAAGGCTGTCTTGAAGCTTGTTTTTCATTTAAAAGTTACATACTTTTGAGATTTGCATCTAATTTTTGTTTACCAGTATAGATATGGGCAGAACATTTTTTTAAATTCACAAATATTTCTCTCTGGGCTTATTTTTTATCATGAATAATTGGGGTATATTTATATGAATCATGGCCCATATAGATGCTTTTCAATTCTGTGCGCAAATACCTGTGCAGGAGGCAAGATACACTGGAAATTCCATCAGAAAGGAAAATGTGATTGTATATGTAGCATACTTTGACAATGTACATTTATATTGGGGTTTCCCACCAAAGGTGCACATTGCCATAGTATAATACACTTACTGCCATAGGGAGCTTTCTATCCAGGAGAAGAATATTATGAGATTGGATTTACAAGCAGTTTCTGTTCCTGCCTTAAGTAGTACTCACTTAGTACTGGCACATAGCATAGTGACAGCTCAGGCTGGCGAAAGAGACTCAAAAGTACCAGAGTAATCCTTTTGGGGACTGGTGCAAAGTCTCTAAACACCAACAGAAAACTTCAGGTCTGATATCTCAATTCATTATAATTGGCCAGCCTTTCAGAATATGTTGAGGATGCTTGTGCAAAGCACATCAATTAAATGAGTACATAGTGCATGCAGTGTCAGAGGAATTCCAATGTTGAGCTTTATGTTAGCTCATCCATGTGCGTAAATTTGTTCCACCTAAAACCTTGTGTTTAAAAAAAATCTGAGTTAGACATCATCTTGAGTAAACTCCTGATAACTGGTCACTCCAAGGGAAAAGGGTTCAGGGATGAATTATCCAGTGTGGCGAGTTACATATATGCATAAACACAAACAAATGCAGCCGGGAAATTAATAGCATGATGACTTATGTGGTAGTAACAAGTTAAGCCAGGATGGAGTTATCAGGCCTTTACTGATATACTTATTAATATGGCATTAAATTTCACCCAGTCTTAGGATACAAGACCATTTTATCTTAGAACATGTATGTTATCTCCCCACCAAATTTCATGTAAAAAACACAGCAAAACCAATTACATTAATATTTCAATTTGTTTTCTCTTCAGATGCCTTCCTGGGTACCAGAATGAACGCTGTGGCATTCAGGTACTGAGCGTAGGAACCAGTAAGGAGAGAATTGATGGCCTCACAATCGCATTACTGCTCGTGGGAGCAATGCTCACCCTTGCTGCAATTATTGTGGCTGTCACTGTGATATTCCAGTAAGTGCAACTTTACAATCTTTCGTAATCTTTCTTATCTTTCATACTTGTATAACTAAATTTTGACTGTCTGTCATATGCTTATAATTGTTACAGGAGAAGGTTATCAAGGGTTGATGGGTTACGAAAAATATGCATTATTTGCCATATATATGTAATGAGACCAACTTAACTGTTAAGCTACTTAACGATTGGTTTAATTTTATACCGAAAATAGCGCTCTGAGATGCTATCCTGCATGAAGGGTCCTATATCAGTGCAACTTGTTGTACGTGGGCGAGGCTCTTTTCTGACTACAATCACATTTGCTGAATGTTGCAAAACAAGTTACAGATCAGTTCAGTTTTCACGTCTTACATTTAGAAATTACAAATATCTCCTTGTTTCAGGTGTAAGAAAAAGTTGAGAGATGCACGTGAGGTTGAAAGTGAAGAAAAGCAGAAGCTCGGAGAAATTAATCGTATGGTTTGAAAAAAGGTGACTTGAATGGATTGGTATCATACCCACTTTTATATTCTGTGCACCTTGTATTTGCCTGTAGTTCAATTAAAACATTGTGTCAGCTTGGCTCAGTGGTAGCATTCTTACCTCAGAGTCAAAAGTTTTTTGGTTGAAGCCCCACGTGGGGACTTTGAATCACATAGTCTAAAGCTGAACACGTGCTACATTGTTAGAGGTGCCACCCTTTGGATGAGAAGTTAAACCAAGGTTCTGTCTGCCTGTTCAGGTGAATTTTATGATCCCATGGTACTGTTCGGAAAGAGAAGGGATTTTCTCACGATGTACTAGCCAACATTCCCCCTCCCCAAATAAACTTGGTCACTCACTGCATGGTGAGGCTCCGTAATGGAGTTCCAAAGGGTGGGGGCAGAAAGGCTGAAGGCCCAACTTCTGATGGTGTGGCGGGCACAGCGGGGGGCATGCAGACATTTCAGTGTTATAGGTGGTAGAAAAATGTAAGCTATTTGTTCTTTACAAAAGAATGTTGGTTCTAAACCTGCTGTAGTCTGCACTTGTGTGTTTCATCCTATTCAGCAACTTGGATGTGAAAATGCATTTGAGGAGATGATTTGCACCTATTGTAGTGGAGCACTCAAACCTGGTTATTCTTCCAGAGTTTCTTGCAATGTTCTTTGCTTTTTTTTAAAATGTGAGATTCTGTTATCTCTTAATATGATCAAATGCAGAAAAGCTCATGAGAAGAGCCAGCAAATTGAGCAAAGTCAAGATTTTGGCTGTGGATATAGATACAATTCTAGACAAACATATTAAGATAAAGATGAGGTGGTTTGCGATTAGTGGCACTTCCTATTAACACCTGCATCTGCAACATTCCCACTCTGAAGGTGTTGCGGCACCAAAAGGATCTGTTTAATGTGGTTTGACTGCAGAAAGTATTTTAACTTCCGATTGAACTGGTAGCTGCTATTGTGTGCTATATTCGTGAACAATGATATTAACGGATGTTAAACTTGTTTGCAGGATGTCCTGGATTTGACACTTGAGAAATTGGAGAATCTGAAAACTAGTACCTGTAGCTACTAACGTGCATGAAGGGAAGAAAAAAATCCTGACTTTCATTTGCATCTGTTGTAGGATGCCTGTGTTTTTATAATGGGTCGCTTAAAGAATATACTAGTTTCAGTAGAAATAAAACTACTTGGCTGATTTGTTTATATTTATTTGATATTTAATGTTATTTAATGTTTATATAAATTTGTTACACTTGAATTAAAAATGTAAATATAGTATCAAAAGTATTAAACAAAGGCTTGTATTAAATCAACTTGTTGCTTGCTTTGTCTATACCAGCACAGTACACATAATGTATTAATTCTTCCCTGAAATCATTCATAGCTTTGATTGCTCTGAATACCCTTCCATGTGGTCATTGTTCATGTGTGAACCTCAACAGTGAGGGTTGAAGGGCAAATTGATTGCAGAGACCAAAACTGACCTCTTCCTACCTTCCTTCCCCCCACCCACCCCCATGCACATACACACATACACACACATAACCAATAAGTATGCAGGAACCCTGGCTGTTTTTCCCGTTTTTTTTCTGCCTTATCCTGGGAAGGCTTGAGCCAATTTTACCTCCCTGTGCAGCTTCAACTAAGACAAGCAAACTCAGCACAGATCAGGATTCGATCAGTGAATAGTCTTTAAGCTACAACTCTATCTATCACCATTGGGGCTCACTTCTAAAGCCCTTCACAGTCTTGGCCCTCCCTACATGTGCGACTTCCTAAAAACTTACCTACCTACCCAGTCCCTCTGCTTGGCGGGCAGTGGCCTGCTCCATAACCCCTGCCCTGGCCACCACACCGTCACAATTTGGGCTTTCAGCCTTTCTGCCCCGCTCTTTGGAACTCCATTCCAGAGCCTCATCCTTGCCCCCTCCCTTGCCTCCTTCTAGGCCCATCTCAAAGCCTTCCTCTTTGACCACACTTTTGGTCATCCTCCCACCCCATTCCCTTACCTCTACCCCTCCCGAACCCAATCCCCAGCTCCGGTACAAAACCTAGACACTTCAGCGCTTTGGGATATTCTCCTGATGTGACAGGTACTTTATAAATGCAGTGTGTTGTTGTTGAAAGCTTGCCAAACAATGGTGTTTAGTGGGGGTGAGGGGGTATGGAACAGGTTGGTGTTTCCTGAGTGAAAGGAGCAGAGGGGCTGGTAGAGTTGCAGAAGGTTGCAGAGGTCTTGTGGGATAAGACTATGGGGGGATTTCCAAGGGGAGAAAGATTTTGAATTCGATCTGCTGAGGGAAGGTGAGCCAATGGAGCTAAGCAAGGTGATGGCAGATGCGGGAGAGGACATGAGCTGCAAAAGTTCTGGATGATTTGTAGTTTGTGTAGGGAAGAGCTGGGGAGTCCGATGAGCAGAGCATTGAAGTAATTGAATCTGGATGTGATTAAGGTGTGGATGAGGTCTCAGAGTCCCAGGGAAGAGGTAGGTCAGAGGAGGGCAATGTTATGGAGGTGAAGGAAAGCTGAACACATGAGAGTCTGATGTAGGGGGGAGAGTATTATCAATTGAGCCAACATGGCTTATCAGTAGGACTTGGAGAGACAGATCAGTCACTGGGGCAGGGATTCTTCCCATTTAGCTCCTGTTACCCTACCCTATAGCCCTAATAGGCAGAGATGTCTTAACAGTAGAGGTTTGAAATGTGGCAGCTTCAGTTTACCCCATATTAGAAAAGATGCTATTTACCCACAAAACAAATTACAGTCACTTTGCAGCATGTTCTGTGAAGTGCTTTGAGACAACCTCCTGATGTGAAAGGTGCCATACCAAATGATATTATTCTTATTTCTTACCAATTTGATGCTGTATCACTTTACAATATATTGTTATATTTTTAGAATGTCGATTTACAAAAAGTGGTGAAAAGATTAACTTGCAAATGTATAGTTGAATAGTTTATCCTCTGGCTCTGTCCCCATTCCCTTAAAAACTGCCACCATCACGCCCACCCTGAAAAAACCCTCCCTTGATGCGTCGCAGCTATCAAGCTACCGGCCCATCTCCAACCTCCCCTTTCTCTCCAAGGTCCTGGAAAGAGTTGTCGCCTCCCAACTGCGCTCTTTCCTTTCCACCCATTCACTTTTCGAACCCCTTCAGTCAGGTTTCCGTGCTGCCCATAGCACAGAAACTGCCCTGGTCAAGGTCACCAATGATATCCTGACCATCTGTGACCAGGGCTCCCTCTGCCTCCTCGTCCTCCTCGACCTATCGGCAGCATTCGATACGGTCGACCACGCTATCCTACTCCACCGCTTGTCCTCCCACCTCAACCTTCAAGACACTGTCCTTGAGTGGTTTAGGTCGTACCTTTCTCACCGTTTTCACTTTGTCTCGACGAATGGCTTCTCCTCCACCCCCCGTACTGTTTCATGTGGTGTCCCTCAGGGCTCTGTCCTCGGTCCCCTCCTCTTCACCCTCTACATGCTCCCCCTCGGTGACATCATCCGCAGACATGGAGTTAACTTCCACATGTATGCGGATGACACCCAACTCTACCTTTCCTCCTCTACTCTCAACTCCACGACCACCGATGTCCTGACAGCTGCCTGTCCGACATCGAGTCCTGGACGAGAGACAACTTTCTTCAGCTCAACGTGTGAAAAACCGAGGCCCTCCTGATTGGCTCACGTCAGCGCCTCCGCACCTCAGGCGCCGACACCATCAGCATCCAAGGCTGCACTCTCCACCTCTCAAAGCCAGTCAGGAACCTCGGCGTTTTGTTCGACCCTGAGCTGTCCTTTCTCCCTCACATCCGCACCACAACTGGCACCGCCTTCCATCACCTCCGGAACATCGCCAGACTACGGCATTACCTCACCCCTCACGCTGCTGAAACCCTGGTCCACGCCTTTGTCACCTCAAGCCTGGACTATGGGAACTCTCTCCTCGCCGGCCTTCCCGCCACCTCCCTCCACAAGCTTCAGGTCATTCAGAACTCTGCAGCTCGTGTACTGTCCCGCACCAGACACCGCGACCACATCACTCCCACCCTCGCTCGCCTCCACTGGCTCCCCATCCCCCAGAGGATTGATTTCAAGATCCTCATCCTCATCTACAAGGCCATTCACGGCCTTGCTCCCTCCTACCTCTTCAACCTACTATCCCCCTACCTACCTGCCCGTACCCTCCATTCCTCCGGCTCCGGTCTGCTCCACGTCCCCCGCCCCAATCGCCCTACCATCGGTGGTCGGGCCTTCAGCCTCTCAGCCCCCAGGCTCTGGAACTCTATCCCCCAGTGCCTTCGCCGCCTCCTCCCTTTCCTCCTTCAAGGCCGGTCTCAAAACCTTTCTCTTTGACCGAGCCTTCAGCTCCCCTCTCGACTCTCTACCCCCTCCTCGCTCCCTCCCTTCCCTCCCCTCACCCTGACCATTTCCCCCCTGCTCGGGTCATGACCCAACTGTGCAGCGCCTTGGGACGTCCTCCTGACGTGAAAGGCGCTTTATAAATGGAATCTTGTTGTTGTTGTGTTGTTTATCTAAAGGTAGCAATCCTTAAGTAATTGAAATGATTCCTGTTATGCAGAATGGAATGTGAAGATCCATCCTTTTCAGACATGACTGATCAGCTTCCTCTTACAACAGCAAGCATATTATGTTGTATCCAGAATATTAAAATATGTTGTTTCTATCAAGGGTCATTTAGATTAGGTGATATTCATTGCTTGTGTTAAACTGCCTGTGTATTATATAAATATAACTTGTTTGGAAACAAATGGGAGTTTCACATTCTAGTCACTGCACTTTATAGGGTAGGATGATCTGAATGATCCTAACTGGTCAAGGAGCGAAAAACTTGCCAGACAGTGCTTTGAATGGCAAGCTATGCATTTTTAGCTTGTTAGACTCCAGCAGTCTAACCAGACTCTGGAGTCCCCAAGCCTTGACTTTTGACAAGTTGTGTCGAATGCTCTCCAGAATTGGATAAGCAGGGCAAGAGTGTGCTTTCCATTCCAATACATGGGATTTTCCAATGGATAGGTGGAATGAATGGAACTCTCAGTTTGGTTTGGATACTCTTAAGAACGGTGAGGGGTTTCTGTATATTTCAGACACCCACCTGACTAAAAAAGACACTGTGCCCTGTGAAGCACTTTGAGACATCTTCCTAATATGGATTCTCCTGATGTGTATCCTAAAGATTCCTAAAGAGTTTATAGATTTTTGAAGCAATCTCAGAAGAAAAATATTTCTAACTCCGTATTTTAAAGATCTCATCATGCCTTGTAAGATTTTGTTTGGAAACGTCCAAAGTCAGTGCCGATGAAGACATTGTTGCTGACTATTCCTCAGAATCGGATAAATTGTAAATGGGTTATATAGGAGCATTGTAAAGGGGTTAGAGTACTTGCCTTGCAAGCGAGAGACCTAGGTTGGATTCCCGACGGGCGAAACTTTGGGCAAGTTTTCTTACTCCAGGTGCCTCTGTTTACCTAGTGGTAAGTAAGAACCCGGTTGTTAGTTGATTGGCGGATCGCTTTTCCAGGGATAATAATTCCTTCCAAAGTAATAATAATAAATTGTTCACTCAATCCACGACTGTTTGTGGGACATTGCTGTATGCAATTGGCTGCCATGTTTCGCCCACAAAATCAATTCACTGTACAGTTAATTCACTTTGCAGTATATTCTGTGAAGCACTTTGAGTATTGAAGATATAATAAGGCTCTATATCAAAATGGAAGGATTATTATTATTACATCAGATTATTATTATTAATTATTATTACCATTGTAAAGGGGTTGTATAGAAGGGAAAAATCACAATGTGCAATGCATTGATTATCATCAATGATAATGAACACATTACAAGTGTCAATTTTCAGCCCAGAATTTTATAACTCCTCTGTTTCAGAGGAATTCTTAATAGACTATGGTTATTTTGGTTCTTCAATACTAAACACAAATATATTAATCTCCATACCCCATGTATTCCTATGCTTTGTTTCTGAGTGTTATTTAGTTTCTGGTTAGCCATCCTAGCCATAATATCTGAAAAAAAATGTCTTTTTGAAGGAATTATTATGCAACCTAGCCTCATAATGTAATCCTTTCAGCCACCGGATCTGTTCACTGGTCTAGTAAATCTGGGATAATAAATCTTTCTTGTATGATTTTTTTATTTGAAACAACCACAACCTTGCATTTATGTAGCATCCTTCATGTAAGGTAATGTCTCAGAACACTTCACTGTGGAGCAGTTGGACGTCAGCCAAGGGAGAAGAGGC